GCCACGCCCTATCGTATATTGTCACTGTTTACAGGACTGTTGCCTATGTAGTACTGAGGCCAGCAGTGATAACTCATTCCACTCGCCCATGTCTAGTTTCCACTACCTGTATGAAATGTCCCTGGACGGTTTGGTTTTTGTCTTCCTGATTGTCCAGTCACTCAAAACCACAATGCCGATTTTAACACCATTCTAAGCTCTTGTCAGGATTAAGAGTAAGTAAATAGGCTTGGTTGAAGGAGCTTCAAAAACACCTTGTGGAAAAAAATCCATTAACTTTGTGAAGCCCCCCATATTTCATTTTCATAGAGCACCTTTTAAAGGATCCCCTTTTCAGGATCCTCAGCTAAGTGCTAGGGAGATGAAGCTTCTAGATAAATGAGCTAAAGATGACTTCCTCACCAAAGACCAAATCTAGATTATTACTGTCACATATTAAAACACAGTAAAAAGAAGTTGGGAACATAAGCATGGCTTATGCACCATCAGATTCGACCTTCATTACTAAAGGAAAAATGGTTTTCTGTAAAGCAACATCTGTCACTCAGTGTGTACATACCCAACAATGTATATAAAACTCGGTGTCATAGAGGCAATTCCAACTCACAGCATTTATAGTTTTATGTATTTATTTTTGAGGACTTCCAGGGAGTCTCAAAAATCAAAGCCCAATCATGGTACATTGGGCTTTCCCTGAACTACACAACGTGTGAAAGCACCACCCCTCGGGAGGCTTAACTAGAACTCCTTACTCTACAGGACACACAGGCATATCGAGGGCTGCTTTGTGTACCAACCGCTGCAAAGCCATCCACAAACCATAACTATAGCATCACAGCTAGACAATGCCTTATGTTCAGTTCTTTGACCCTCACAATCACCCAACTAGAAATGTACTTTTATGATTCCTATATCACCTACGAAAAAACAGGCCCAGAAAGTCAGGGAACTTTTCCACAAATGAACTTCCTAACAGCACAGCATTCAGTAATCTACCTTCAGGGCCCCTCTAGGCATGGGGGCCAGGCATCAGCTCCTGGCTTGTGCAATCCCACATTGCAAGCTCAGAACCTGCTCACCACTGCCTCCTCCTGGGCCTTCACCATAAGGACAACTGCACTCATCTCCCCTGCTTTCTCATTTACTTCCTTAGCCCAAAGTGTTTTTCTTCCCTGGGACTGAACCTATTAAGGGAAGCTGCACTTTCTCCAGTAAAGAATCTGATTGGCTAAAGAGGCATAGGTACTATGTACACAAGGGATCCAAAAGTGTTGTAAACGAGGCTGTCAGGATTGAGAAAAAACGTTTTTCCTCCATTTAACAGAACTAGTTTAAAAAGCATTACTCCTCAGTAAATGCCTGGGACTTTCATACGATTCCTGTTTTGTCTCAGCTGTAAATCCCTTCTATCACCTTTTTACCCAGTCCCGATAGTTTTATTTAATCCAACTTAATTCTAAACTTGTGAAAGAAGATGGCCACTTACTCTTCCGATCTCCGTTCTTTCATTACAATGCTTGGCCTGTCGAAGACAGTTAATTAAAAGTGTCTGATTGCCCCGATGTAGTTTCTAGAGTCCTCCATGGAACACTCCCTCTTAACAGAAGACTTTTTCCCCTTCCTCAGCTAACAGTTCCACTGGAAAGATAAGGCAGAGGGTAACTTCTTTCCCTCTTGAACAAAAGACAAGGGCACTTCAGAAAGT